CCTCAGCAGTGTACTTCATTGATCTGCCTGTTCTGCTCCCCACTCTGTCTCTGGTGAAGCCTCTCGCCGCCCCTGAGCCTCTTGCCTGTACCCCAGATGACTGGACCAAGAAGATGTGGTATTACACGCAATGGAACACTAAGTAATTAAAAAAAATAAATATTTTTAAAAAAATGGGCAGGAGAGCTAAAAAGACACTTCTCCAAAGGACAAATGCAAATGGTCAAAGTTCACCACCACAAGGAAATGCCAATCAAACTGATAATGAGATACCATCTCCCATCTGTGAAAATAGCCCATATTAAAAAAAGGAACCCTCTTACACTGTTGAGTACTTATGCAGGTCCAGCCACCACAGAAAGCTGTGTGGAGGTTCCTCAATGATCCAGCAATTCCACTCCTAGGAATCTACCCAAAGAACATAAAAACACTAATTAAAAAGGAAATGTGCTCTCCTATGTTATAATATTCAAGATATATGGAAATGCCCCAAACAGATGACTGGACCAAGAAGATGTGGTATTACACGCAATGGAACACTAAGTAATTAAAAAAAATAAACTCAGGCCATTTGCGGCAACACAGATAGAGCTGGAAGGAATTCTATTAAGTGAAATAACTCAGAAGGAAAAAAGATGAATATCAAATGGTTTCACTTATACATGGAATAAAGAGAAATCAAACAAAAGGTTAGGACAAAACCTGCAAGCTGACTGTAGACTTGAGGCTTACCACAGAGGAGGGAGAGGGCAAAACAGGGGAGAGCACCAAAGAAAGGGAGATGGATCATGGGTGCTGTGGTAGGAGGAGAACCAAGGTGACTACAATGAAGGAAGAAATCAAAGCTATAAAAATGAACAAATTATAAAATAAATAAAATTAAAACAAGTAATCACATATATGATCAAGTGATATTCAACAAGGGTGCAAAGACCTTTCAATGACAAAGAGCAGTACTTTTTTAAAGTGCTGGGAAAGCAGATATGCATATTGCAACAACAAAAAAAAAGTGGTTGCTTCCATTATACCATATACAAAAAAAAACAAACCTCAAAAATGGGTCAGAGAACTAAATTTAAGAGGACACACTTAGGATTCATGTGTCCAGAGGGCCAGACTGTGTGTCTCTCTTTTCTGTAACAGCAGAACAGAGAGTGTGCCTTGCTGGAGTCATGGCAGGACAGATAGTTTAAAAGTTTCTTCCCCTTTTTGACCAGTATTAGTCGAAAAGAGTGCAGCTAAAACTACAACCAAAGGTGGCGCTATGCTTCCAGAAAAATCTCAAGGAAAAGTTTTGCAAGCAACAGTAGTAGCTGCTGGATTTGGGTTCTAAGGGAAACAGTGGAGAGATTCAATCAGGTAGTGTGACAGTTGGAGGTATAGTCCTTGTGGAATAAGAAAGCACCAAAGTAATTCTAGATGACAAGGATTATTTCTGAGACATGGTGACGTTCTTAGAAAGTATTCAGACCGAAATCACAATTGAAATGGCATCATGTGAAGTGGTGCCATTCCACTAAAGTTCTGAAATCTTTCATCATATAAATAATTTCTGTCTCTTTTACAATAAACTAAAGCTATGTAAATTGTGGTGGGGGGAAGAACACTTAGAAGATAGCATAAGGAAAATTTTCATGACTTTGGGTGAGACACCACTTTAGGTCTACTAGAACAACCAGACACATATGTATATAATGTAGAAAGTAACAAATGCTGATAAGGAAATGGAGAAATTGGAACCACTGTACATAACCTGTGGGAATGTGCAATGGTGCAGCTGCTGTAGGACATGGTTTGGCAGTTCCTCAAAAAGCTAAACACAGAATTACCATATGATTCAGCAATTTCACTCCTAGGTATATATTCTATCCAATATCTGAAAACAATTATTCACTTCCACATACATATACACAGCAGGATCATTCAGTGTGTATATTCATATAACACCTTATTCACAGTATCCAAATGGTGGAACTATCCCATGTATGAATCAACAAATAAGCAAATTCTTTTTAATGTTGTATATAATAGATACAATGGAACAGCATTCAGCCTTAAAAAGAATGTAATTCCGATACATATTCAACATGAATGAAACTAAAAGACATATCAAGTGAAATAAACTAGATACAAAAGTACAGATATTATGTGATTCTGCTTAAATAAAATATCTAAACAAAAGTATAGATATTATGTGATTCTGCTTAAATAAAATATCTAAACAAAAGTACAGATATTATGTGATTCTGCTTAAATAAAATATCTAAACAAGAAAATTCAGAGGGACAGAAAGTAGATTAAAGGTTACTAAGGGGTGGAAAAGGAGAAAAATAAAATTATTGCTTAATGGGCATAGGGCTTCTCTTTGGAGTGCTGGGAAAATGACGGCCAGTAAACTAGAATGGAAACCAATAGAACTTAATCCAAACTGATGAATGATCTAGGTTAAAAAGCATAAAGAAAAAAAGTCAAACAAATGTCTCGAAAAACTCAGAACATGGGGAAGGTAAAGGGGAGAGCACAAAGCCAGCAGGAGGAGGGGATAATGGACCATGGTGGAGGACTGTGGGTGCTCTGGTGGTGACCACACCTGAGGGGAGAAATTCTGTACCATGAAGAAAAGTGAACAGTGAATAGTGAATAGTGTTCAAAAAAATAAAAAGTTAAAAAGACTCAGAACATGTCAGTATTGGCCCTACACCCTTATAAAATGTTTGCATGTTGATCATTCAGTCCCCATTCACCTCTTAGTCAATTTACTCAATTTTCACTGAATGAGTTGTAGGGAACATTAGTAAAGAACACGGTCTCATTTTCTCATTCCTCTTCCTACCACACTTCTCCCTATTCTGTCTCAAAATGATCCCGTGACATGACTGCAGTGGGGTTCCAAAACCCTGCCTGAACCCCTTCTCAGAAGTTTATTACCCTGTGCCCAGTCCACGCCTTCTTGGGGGCAGCCGGAAACTTTCTCTAAGGACATCTGGAGCTTGAAGGAAAACAGCC